CACACAGGCCACACAGGTCTTTCTTGGTGGCTTGGTTAAAGTGAAATTGTTCTTGTTACTCTCTTGGATTTTTAAAAAATCCAACAATGTGCTAGAATTTCCCCCACTGAATTCTCAGACTTCCACAAAGGCACTTTTTTTTTTCAAAACATAGGTTATTTTCAAAGCAGGTGTTCTTTTGTTTGTATGTATGTGGGGAGGGAGACAATAGAAAACTTGTATTCTGCCATTTGGCTCATTAACTGACGTTTTAGTGTTTACCTTAGATCTTTTGATGTGCCATGCTCCCAGAACTGTAAGCTAACAGGATAATTTTACTCATAATTTTTTTACTTTGGCCTCATCTACCTTCTTGGAGATTCCTCCAAAATTGGAAAGGAGTCAGGAGAAGAGAGTCTTTGTTCCAGTCAGTGCTATGAATGCCTAGTTCAGTGCTTGGCATATAGAGACAGTCAAGAAATATTTGCCAAGGGATCAGAATAAGAAACTTAGAAAACCCTAGCATTTAATGATGGACCTCTGTATAATTCCATATTTGAATAATCACTTATACATAGTCTCAAATAAGTATTTATCATCAATTGATTTACAGATTTTAAAATGCATTAATCCACATGCAAGGTATTTCAGTTGTCCCCATCGGACTGAACAATTCAACAATGAAAATTGTCTTTAAATTTTCATATTCTCAGCATAGTAAACATTGGCAGAATAAACAAAGGAATTGGTATTGGGAAAGTGCCTCCACAGGAGGGTATTTTGGTAAAGAGAACCATATTTTTGCTCAGTGAAGGCTGTTGGCTTTATCATTCTAGGCCACAAGGTGTCGCTTCAGAGTAAGATTTTAAAATGCCTTAATTTAGGAGAACTTGGCTATTAACCATTGAATTGGTTCTGTTTAGCACTAAAAAACTATTTTATTGGAAGTATGAATAAATAAATGCAATATGGATACTAAATTTTGTTCACTACAACCTGTGCCCGATAGGCCACCCAAAATAAGGAATTTAGAAGCTCCTCAGATTGCAAGTCTTCAGTTTTCATGGAAATGAGGAAAGCTGTGTTCAAAAGCAAAAGCACACTCCTTCTGCCAGCTATCAACAAATAAATGGAGTTAGCAGTAATTTGAGATTACTTTCATCCAGGGTGTGTTTACTGTTTGTATTTATTTTTGAGGTGCTTTAGTGTGTGGTTATAACCCCTTTAATGTCAAAAAGTCCCAATTAAAAGAGACATATAGTTGTCATGGAAACAAAACTGAGCCAACTGTATGGCTTAGGACCTGCAGCCTTTAATGAATGGACTGATTTCTCTGGAAGAGCTCGTTCTCTGTGTAGAGCCATTTCTTTGTTACAGGTTAAGTACTTTAAAGATTGCCTCTCAGAAAGGGTTCTAAGTGCCACACTATTTCCATGTCCCTGAAGTGGTCTATCTGGATGATACCTCGTTAGCAAGTTTATAAACTCCAAGCAACTTACACAGTATTCCTAGATGCCTCTCTCCCAGGAATGTAACTATTGTCTGTGTCAGCAGACACCCTACTTTACCACACAAGGTGCATGAACATGATAAATTGAAATTCAAGGTCATGATTCAAGCTATTGCTACAAATATGTTGTCAGAAGAGAGAGAGAGAGAAAAAATCCAGACTGGGCAGAACAGGCAACAATGAAAGAAATGCAGTAGTTGTTCGCTAGAGCCTAATTTTGGGGCTAGCTAGAATCCTTTCTAAGTAGTTTCTCTGGGTTCTGACTGGGGTGTAAACACAATGTGAGGTTCAAGCATGAATGCTCTTTGTTTTGAGGCTTGAAGAGGATGATTCTGTACCTAGATGCTTTCCTTGATATTCAAAAATTACCCTTGAAACAATGTACCCCCCTAGGAAATATCCATTCATACTTTTCAAATGAATATGCCTACATCTAAGAACAATGGGAAGAAAGAGATAATGGTTTCTGTAAGTTACCTCTCAAAGTTGAGAGTATTTCTTATGCTTTTCGTTTTAGTTTTTTCTGGAGAGGTTGGTTATAGGCTTTTTCTTTTCCAAGTTTTTCAGTGTGAGAATGTGAAAACTTCTCTAGTGAAAACTTCTCTAGTGAAGTTTTCAGTTTATGAAAATTCTATTACAGCAAACCAGCTAAGGTATCCCATGAAGTTCATCATTCATACGTGATCATTTCATTTATATATCTGGTATTAGTTTAGTACTTTCTGCTTTCGTATCATCCTTTTCTCTCAATTAGGTTTTTATTACATCTCTTGTTTTATTTGTTTTGCTATTTTCTTTTTTTCCTTTTAATAGGAAATAATCTAATTTGACATTTAAACCTAGGTTATTCATTTTTTAAAAAAATATATCTTTTATTTTACCATAGAACATGAACTATTTTGATGTTCTGTTTTCTGTTTTGTGTAATTTTATGGCAAAATTCATTTTCTTTTCCTTCTGTCACCTTGAAGTTTATGACTGTGGTGTAATTTCTGAAAATTAGTATATTTACAGTTCCTCCCAAAAGGTAGTTTTAGCAGATTTTAAAAAGCTAAACTTTATTGATTTCTATTTATTATTTATGTAGCAGATATTTGGGTCGCTAAAGTTTTTAATATTCCCCTATCTCTAGCCTCCCTGTTAGTATTAGAATGAAAATAGATGTTATCTACTTTACCAAGATCCTCTTTTAAGATGTATCTTATATCTTATTTCATAGAAGTTGGGGTATTCTGCAGCATTCATTCATTCATTCATTCTACAAATGTCTGTTATGTGCAAGGTACTTTCCTATGTTGTTAGCTATTCTAGAGAACAAAACAGACAAAGGCCTGCCCTCACTAGAGCTTCCCTTCTAGTGAGGAAGAAAAGTAAAACATGTAGCATGTTACATTGTGAGAAAGTCTAAAACCAAATCAGGGAAGGAGAATCTAAAAGTTGAGAGTGGAATGGAAATTTGAAGTTGGATAGGCACAGGAAACCTTAGTGCAGATGAGGTGGTGGGCGGGGTGGGGAAGGGACTCAAGTCAGAGGAGCAGCAAATGCAAAGGGCTGTAGGTGAGAATATACCTGGGTGTCTGAGGAACTGCAAAGAGACCAGCGTAGTGGAGCAGAGTGAAGGAGAAACTTGCCTCTTTGTTTCTCTACTCTCTGTCCACCATATTGCACAACTCCTTGCACATAGTGACATTCAAATATTTATTAGGTGAATTAATGAAATTAGATTCCAGAACTGTCAGAGGGAAAATCAATAGTGATTAGCTGGATATGTGAGGAGAGAGGGGAAAAGCCAGATGACTTCATGGCTGAACATGTGTGTAGGGACTAAGTGTATGGTGGGGGAACAAAGATTGGTTTGGGGGTGGTAGAAATGGGTTCAAGGCGGAGATGCTGAGTAGGCAAGTTTGCTTCTTAAGAGAGCTCAGGCAGGAGAGGCTTGGGAGATGATAGTTGAAGGTACGGTATTGATGAGATCCTCCAGGGTCCTGGCGTGGGAAAGTAGGTGTGGACAGGGTCCTGGCGTGGGGATGCAGAAAGTGGTATGGATAAATGCTACAGGTGTGACGTCAGGCCTTGGTGATGGAAGGGAAATTAATGGTAAAGAAAAGCAAGAGTCAGGCCAAATGCTAGTGCTGTATTGACAATGGTGGTGCCATTGATTAAGATTAGGACAGCCCGAAGGGAGTGAGGACATGTTTGAGTTGAAAGTGAATATCAGAATAGAAAATATTTAGTAAATGCTGAATTGGAAAGAGAATCCGTATTTAAATCTCATAAGCTGAGGCGCTCAAAGTCACTTGACCTAGTGAGGAGCCAAAATGATCTCATTAATAATGTAGCCTAAAGCTCCAGTGTAACCAGCAGATGGCATACTCCACGAAGTGATCTGAGGAACTGCTAAAGGCCCACCCACATGCCTGGAAACCACCCTACCTTGCCAGCTAGCCTGGAGCCCTGGAAGTGTTTTTGATGGCCAGCCATTACTGCTTTTCTTTTGAGTCAGTCTGTATTTTGCTAAGCAGAGTGTTCCTAAATGTTACGGAGCTCATCAAAGGGAGGCTATTGCTGTGAGTCTTCTTTTAGGCATCAGTAGACTTTAGTGCTTTGATACTTGTCCAGCATGCCAAAGGTAAGTGATTAATAACAGGCAGGGAACTTGCTGCTCACCCAGGTTAGGTATTAACTGGCTAAAAGAGAACAAGATAAACTTGGGACAAAAGAAATGTATGTGTGGTTATTAATGTGCTGTGCTTGCCTTTAGACATATCAGATGGTAGTTTTGCTAAGTGGAAACAGTCAAAATTGGAAGAAGGTGATGTTCCAGGACCCCTTTCCTCAGTGAGAGATGAAGCAGATTTGGCAGGTAACATGCACCCAGCCAGCCCGTCAAAGAAGAGTGTGATAAAAATGTAAGCACTGAATGTACCAACATGAATTACAAGGGAGTTGCAGTTTGAAGATCATAGCAGTTACAGAACTCTCAAAATTAAGCATCCTGTCCTTTCAGAGACGAATAAATTGTTGCACGAATGACAGATAAAAGCAAGCACATCTCCTTCTAGTCATTTGATTTCTGCCTCTTAACTCATCTTTATGGCAATTTTCAGGGCCTAAGGGCTTCCTAAACTTATAGGTCTCTGCTTTAGTTGATAGTTATTAACTGAATTTTTGTGTTGGAAATATCCAATGAAGAATGATCTGAAATGTGGGGTTGACCTTCTGGATGAGTGACGTCTCTATATTTTGAAGCAAGAGACTCCAAGAAAGCAAATTTGGAAGCCCAAAGGTACTAGAGGGCGATGGTTAAGAGCCAGGCAGCCTGGGTTCCAATCCTGAAGCAGTTGGTGTGAGCTTGAACAAGTTATCTGATCTCTTTGTTAAATGTGGATAACAGCGCCTACTTCACATGGTTTTTATGAAGATTAAATGAGTTGACACAGGCAAATCCCTTAGAACAGTGCCAGACCTCTTATGAGCCCTCTTAAAACTTCTGGCATCCAGAAGCTGTTATGCCAGCTTTGCCCCATCACGTCCTCCTTAAAACCTCTTATAACACCTCAGCCTCCTTCTTAGACATAATATCAGTCACTTTGATTTAAAGGACTGTGGAAGTTTGGATAAAATGGGCAGTTACCAGAGAGTGAGTTTGATGGGAAGCAGTTTGAAGTGCCCGCTGTAAGGACTCTGGGCTTGAATTGGCCTTGTCGCCACAACCTGAGTCAGCCCTGCTGCAGTCAGAGCCAGGCAGCCATGGGGCTTCATGGGTGGGCTTTGTGCTTCTGTCTGACTGTCTGTCTCTGGGCAGCTGATGGACCTACCACATGTTTTTCAAGCACTTTGTTTTACTTAACATTCTATTTTTATTGTCCAGAAGGCATTTCTTCTCCATCCCTGGCAGTTGTGCCAGAGAACTTGAATAGTTCTGCTGTTATCACAACCTTCGAAAACTTCACTAGAGAACTGAAAAGAAAATATGAGGTAATGGTGCACTAACAATGAAAAGCTAGCTCATTATGAGCTTAAAGTAACAAGTTGATATTATTCATTAATACTGTTGTTAACCATTCATGTGTGAAGATATTCCTGAGTCTTTTGGAGAGGTAAATTTGTCTTAGCTGTAGTCACTGATTTTAGAGCCTCTATGAATCATGGTTTGTATTTATAAGGCAGCTACAATAGGACCAGAAGGACCTAAATGGAAATCGGACTCATGGTTTGGTTTCATTGATAGCATTCTCAGATAACTGAACTTCCAGGAAGCAATGCAAGACAAGGAAGAAGGGGGAAAGGAAACATGTAGATAAGAGGTGTCTGGGACAAAGATGGAGTTAGGTTGTGGGTGAGTAGTCAGCTAAGTGGCATATCTTTGTGACACTACAAATATAGTTTGTCCTAAAACTTTATCTGCCAGATGAACTTAAAAACCATTTCTGTCCCCTCCTCTTTTGTCCTATTTGTATATCTCTAGAGTTATTTATTAGCATATTTGTGAGAAATATCTTACCCTAATATATATTCATTTAACTAACTTGGAAGATCTCCAAAGTCTTATTTTCTACAATACCAATGTTAATTTATAATGGAAGTTTGTACATAATATTCAATATGTATATCAATAGTATAAACGTAAGTTTTTTTTTTAATTTTAGCTTACTTTTTATTGGTACCTACACTGAGGAAATAACATGGGAGATGTATAATGTGGTGCCTTGTCATAATTCTTTAGCAGTAATATTTGCTATGAATATTATGTACTGTCAACCAACATCTTTTTACTGTAAAACCTGCACTCAATTTACATAGTTGTGGTTAACCCAAATGTGATCATTTTGTTATTGTTGTTATGGTTTAGCTTAGGTACAAAAGGAGTGCACTTAATTCAGAATATGCAAAGCAAGCACCAGATTGCCTAATAAAACTTTTAAACCAGATACATCAGTGCAGGTAAGTATTGGCTTTCAAAACAAGTTCATAAAAGTGCGATTTCTCATGTTTGTCTCATGACCACAGTCGTGGTCATGAAGAATTGAAGGTTGGGTAGATTTGAGGTTTGATACATTGTTTAACCCTGCCAAGTGTCTGGTTTTCCATTCATAAGGTGAGGAGTTGAATTAAAGGCCCTTCTTAAGCCTCTTTATGGTCTAAAATACTGTTCTTAAAAAATCCATAATCCAATTGTGAAAAGCATGGATATATATGTAGAAAATGCTGGTTAAATGATATATGGTATATACATACAGTGGGATATTATTCAGCCTTATGAAAGAATAAAATTCTGATATAAGCTAGAACACAGATAAACTTTGAGGACATTATGCTAAGTGAAATGGACAAAAGGACATGTATGATTCCTCTTACATGAGGTACCTAGAATAGGCAAATTCATAGAGATAGAAGGTAGTATAGAGGATAGTGGTAGTTGAGGGAGTAGAAAATGGGAAGTTATCATTTAATCAATACAGAGTTTCTGTTTGGGATGATGGAAGAATTCTGGAAATGGATAGTGGTGATGGTTGTACAACATTGTGAATGTACTTAATGCTACTGAATTGTATACTTAAAATGGTTAATGGGTAAATCTTATATATATTTTGCCACAATAAAAAATATTACACCCTCATGCACATATGTGCACACATACCCCTATGACCGTGTAGCAAGAAGTCCAAGGGGCCAAGATTTTAGATATGAAAGACAAGAAATGCAAGTGGGGAGATGGGTTTCTGTAGTGATTAGTGTTAATTCAGAGTGATTATAATGGAAGTGCTTCTAGAATGAGGTTTTAGAAACAAAGATTTGAATGGTATAGGGAAGATGAAAACAGAGATTTTTCCTGTTAAAGTGAATGGCCTGTAAATGTAGGAGGGGAAGAAAGTGACGGCAAGTTGGTTTTCTTAACTGAAGTAGAAAGTTTCTTAGGGAAGAATACATAATATGAATAGAAATTTGTAATTTTTTTCATACATTTATACATGCAATGCATACAATTCTCAAAACAAGTCCATGAAAAACTTTGGACTTGTGGAACTTTCATTATCTTTTAGATGGCATACATTGATCCATTTTTTCATTCAGCAAATGAACACTGAGCAGTGCTAGGTGCTAGGTCTTGTGCTACCTGCAGGAGTGCCATGAGAACAAGCTCTATAAGCATCTTGTCTTCATGGAATTTTTAGCATAATTGAGAAGACACAAAGCAAGTGAACAAATAAACACTTTACATGGTGATTTGGCACAGGATAGTGACTGTTAGAAATTTCAGAGCTAAAACAGAAGTGAGAAAAAAATTTGTTAGCCACTTTTAGCTTTCAGAGCTAGCTTAAGGCAAGAGAAAGATGAGTAAGGGAAAGGTAAGAAGCAATGGGGAGCCATGGTTGGTGGTATAGTGGCTTCCAGCCTAGGTCTGGCATTGGTCCTCTTTTCCCTCCAGTCATCTCTCCTTTGCTCTTCAGAGTATGATTCGAAATACTTGAAGCTTCCTTTGGGCTTCTGTTGAAAGGCTAAATCAAAGTTTGCACAGTTAAGTTTCAGCGGGGTGAGGATGAGCAGGCAGTGAGGGGAGGGATAAGAAGAGAGACATGTATTCTTAAAACAAGAAATATCTGTATAGAAAATATGAAGTATTTTTGCAATAAGAGAATTAAGAGTATCTTTTGTCACATCCAAGCAGTCCCAATGAAATTTGTTTTTACTTTTATTAGACTTAATAAACTAGAGCAGTTTAACAATTTTGTTCTTCAAGAGCTGAGCAATCTTGAGAAGAATATTCTGGCTCTGAAATACCTTGAGAGGGATGTTATGGTAAGTTCTTTTTGTTTAGAATATTTTCTGTGACTTAAGAGAATCTGTTCTAGGGTAGAATAACTGCTTACTACTTAAATACACCTTTTGTTCAATTTTAGGAATTTTGGGAGAAACAATCTGATGATCTGAAATCATTCTGTGATCTGCAAGTGCTGAGGTATTTTTTTTAAATAAATATTCTTTCTAGAAGTATCTTAGTTGAAAAATAAAGTACTGCTTTAGCTAGAGTGTGGGTGGTTGACGTTCATAAAACCTCATGTTAGTAGCTAAATAGTTGCTTTTTAAAAAAAAAAAAAAACAGGAACTTCTTTGGCACTCCCTGAGCATTGAGTGTGGCTAAGGATATCAACCTAGAAGTGTAAATTTTGAAAAGTGTAAATAGGATCATCCAGATTTCAGTATTTTTGATCCAAATTGTTTTATTTTTAAGCAGTATTTTTAGATATTGAAATGAGTAGATTTTGAGCAAAATATTTAGATTTCTGAGTAAATAGTTGATTTTCAGTTATGTGTTGAATTATGTTCTTGATAGACTATATTGTATATATTTTACATGTATATATTTTAAATATATGAGTATATATTAAACAACAGGTGGGGTTATCCTACCTCACATTCTTTTCACTGTGATTACTCAGTGTACATTCTGAGGCTGCTGCTTCAATCCATCTGGAATGTTGTTCCATTTTCTGGAGTGTAAGGAATAGAATAATGGAGAGGGGAGCCCTTCATTCCTCTGCTTTTGCTCTGAGAGAAATTCTAATGTTTTCTTCCTGCTTGAACAATCAAAGGAATCCCTATATAAATCTGCAATGATTAAAGCTTTATCTACTGGTTGAGAATCAGCTTCTGTCACAGAAATCTAGTCACATGGTTTTAGGAAGGATATTATTCTGATTATACCATGTATTTCAAAGAACAGCAACACTTTTGATATTTGAGTTATCCATCCTCTGTTATTCCATTTAACACAATTAATAATAATGACAGTATGGACCACAGATTTTCAAAATATTTCACACACACAGATCTCCCTCCATGTACCATTATACATCATTAAAGGGGGTATGCTTTTAAACCTCTTCACTGGATGTTCCAGATTATAAATGGTTCTCAAACTTCTTGGAATTAGAACCTCTTAACACTTAAAAAATTTATTGAAAGTCCCCAAAGAACTTTTTCTTTATGAGTTCTATCCATAAACATTTTCCATATTAAAAGTTGAAACTGAGATTTAGAACATATGTTTATTTAAAAATAACACATAAATATGTACATATTGATATAAGTAACATTTTTTACAAAATATAACCAGAGTTTTCAAAACAAACATGTGAGAAGAGTAGAATTGTTTTGTTTTTGCAAATCTCTTTAATGTCTGTCTTCATAGAAGACAGCTGCATTCTCATATCTGCTTCTGAATTCAATCTGTTGTGATATCACATGTCATGTAGCCTCTGAAAAACTAAACTGTGTATTTGTGAGAAGGTAAGGATTTAAAAAGCAAATAACGTCTTAGAATTGTTACCATTTACCAAAATAAATTTGGACCCCACAGAACCTTTGGAAGCTTAGTTTCCTTAGGAGTCCCCAAGAAAAAGGATTCCAAAGACTCACACTTTGAGAACTGCTAATATGAAACAACATTGTAATAAGCCTCAGAGAACATTATACTCCCTAGTCTTCTGAAATCTGGAGACTTCACTTATTTTGACTGAAACCCAGATTTTAGACAACTGTCTCTTCAGTTCATACAGATTACATTGTAGGATATTAATTATCATTACATTCATCTTCCGTGCTAACAGGCCCCTGTGCATTTAGAATACCTCAAAGAACAAAAATTACTTCTAACTATACATCTCTCAGGGTTTTGCATTTGCTCTCCTCTCTTCTGAATACCTAAGGAAACCACCCTGTGGCTTGCTGATGAGAGATGATGGTGATACTCTTAGCTCACACTGCATACTTACTGGGTACCAGGCTCTGGGCTAAGCACTTGAAGTTCCTGTGAGACTTAAAGAGGTTAATTAACTTGGTTGAGATCCAGTTTCTGAATCTGGTTGGTATCCAGTGTTTGTCCTTTTGTCATATTTGCACATTGTTTGGCTTTACATATTTTTCTAGGGAGGTAAGAAGGACATTCCTCAGACTAGATTATTTCAGCCCCTAGCACAGTGCTACAGAGAGATGGGGATTCAATGATTTGAATGGTGGTCATAAAATACTTCTGTATATGTTGTGACAATGCTTAAAATGGAATCAAGTAAAACATTAACCTCTTATGTTGATATCTTGAATTGGCCATTGACCCTCCTTGACTAACATCAGTAACATAACAATCTATGAAATGACTCTATGGTATATTTATGTACATGTATGTGTATTTTTATTTTTAAATTGCCTAATGTGAACATAATGAGATAGTCCAATTTCTTCTAGGCTAAATGAAATTCAGTCTTCATGAGGAAAGCCAAAGCCCAGTTTTGTTATTGCATTCTTGGGGTAGGTACAAAGGTTTACTTTGTTCAGTCGATGTGAATTGGAATGGAGAAAACAAGCACTAAAAGATACTCTAACACTTTGTCCATGTTACAGCTCTTCCACTGAGCGTCCTTCTCTTTCACACTGTCTCCCATCCTAGCAATTATCCTTTTGGATCTAGGTCATTCATTCAGTAAACATCTATTATTGAGTGCTTGCTGTGCATCAAGCACTGTGCTAACCATGGAAATACAATGGTTAATACACAGACATGTTCCCACCCCCATTAAAAATAAATTCCCTGAAAGAAGACAGAAAAAAAGACAAGGAAAATAATTGTAAGTTTACTAAGTGCTTTGAGGGATACTAGCAAAGTGCTTTGGCAGAGAGCAATGGTATGAAATAACAGTTTCAGATAGGATGGCCATCAAAGATTTCTCTAAAGAAGTGACATTTAAGGTGGGGTTTCAAGAATAGGAAGGAGCTAGACTTGTGAACAGTTTAAAGCAACTGATTTGGGTGGGAGAGAACTTGACATCTTTGAGGAACAGAAAGTTCTTGGATCACAGTGGTGTAAGGGGAACAGTTATTTGAAATGAAATTGGAAGCATGGCTGACTCGCTGTTGACCTTGTTGAAGAGTTTGGATTTTATACTAAGGGTGAAGGAAAATATGGATGGGTTTAGAGCAAAGGCATTGGGGGTGAGGGTAATATAGTCTGATTGTATTTTAAGAAAATCATTCCAGTCACTGTGTTGAGAATTTATTGGAGAAGTGAAGAATAGAGGAGGAAAGCTCAGCTGGAGGGCTTAAGAGATGGTGATAAATGGAGAAATTCCAGATCCATTTTGAAGCTAGAACTAATAAATTACTGACAGATAGAAGCGGTAAGTAGGTAAAGGAAGAAGAAATATGGATGGCTCTTAGGTTTCTGTCTTTTAATAGTTAGATTGATGATGTTGCCAATTAGAGAGGTAGAGAAGACTTGGGGTGGGAGAAATGTATGGGTCAAGCAGAATCTCGAGTTCATTTGTTAACATTTTAACTTTCAGATGTCTAGTTTTGATGAGAACCTGCAATAATGGACAGTTTGTCAGAATAATACAGTTTAATAAAGGAGACTCCCAAATATATGGGATAACTTAGGCAAATATTCATAGAAGAAATAAAATTGATAAAGAATTCTTGTGCAAACGTGTATGGTCCAGATTGCAGCATGAGGATATCTGTGGAATACTTTAGCGCTGTTGACTAAATAGTACTAGACTTCAGTACTATCACAGCACATGGAAGAATAAAAATTCCCCAATTTTTAAATAAATCTTGAATACAATACAGACATCCAACAAAAATTGCATAGGGAACCATAGAACAATCTGTTAAAATAACTAAGCCAAAATTCTAAGCAAAATATTGGCAGACATAATTTAACAGCTTTTAAAGGAATGATGTCATGACCAAGTGAAATTTATTCCAGGAAAACAAAGGTAGTTTCATATTAGGGGATCAAGTAATACATCAATTACTAATAGATCTAGGGAGAAAAATTATTATGATTCTCTCCATGTATTTCAAAAGGCATTTGAAAAAATTGTACATCTGTTTGAATTTTTATAAAACTAAGTAAAATAGTAGAAACAAGATATTCTTTAGAATGATAAATCTCAGTCCGAAAACCACTATCATGCTTAATGGAGAAAATCTAAATGCATTATTACTAAAATCAGGACCAATGGGTGGAGAGACTAAGTAACAAAAAAGTATCAATTTTATTATGGCAGAGAGCAGAGGAAGAAGCTCTCTTCTGACTCCTGTAAGGGCACTGATCTCACTCATGAGGGCCCTACTCTCATGACCTCGTTTACTGTAATCACCTCCCAAAGCCTCTACTTCCTAATACCGTCACATGTGAGGAAGGGGTTCAGCATATGAGTTTAAGGGTGGGGGGGGCGGGCACAAATATTCAGTCCTTAATATGGGATCAGTCTCAGTGGGATCCGAAGTTGCGACAGTGGAAGAAGGAGAGCAGACATCTTGGAAAGGCCAGAATGTGTGGTCGGAAAGTGGGATATTAAGAATCAAGATTTCGGGCGTGAGAAGTCTGTGAAGATGACAAAATCTGAGAATGTGGCTGTATTGAGATAGAAGAAAATGCTGTAGGAGGTGAGGCGTCAGAGAACTGAGAGGCCAGAGCATGAAGTTGAGTCCTTTGTGATGATGTTGCAATTACTAGTAAGGCTGACAGGAAGCAACTGAACAGAGGGGCCAGGATGATGAATGCATAAGTCAGATGGATGGCATATAATCAGCAGTGAGGTTTCTGCAGGAGAAGGAAAAATGACCTGTGCGAGGCAGTGGGGAGCAAGTAGAATACCTGCCTTTGCACCTGGCCATGAAGTAATGTGATAACAGAAAAAAAAAAGCTTTTAATTGAGAGGGTATGGGGGGATGTGGTACCTTCAGAAATCAGCCAGGTTTTAGTTAAAAGAAGGAGGCAAAGAGATATTTTTTTCCAAGAGGAAGCTAAGGATATTAAGGAGTTTGCTGTTGACAGATCAAATTGTAAGGGTTGGACAGGAAGACCTCCACAGGGTGGGCAAAGGTAGTATATGGAGGCAGAAGAAGAGATGTACAAGCAACATCAGATAAGAATGTGGAGAATAATGGCTGTCTTTTGGTAGTTATTAAGGCAAAGAGGAATTTGAGACTGAATGGGATTGACTGTGAGAGATTTTTAAAGGAGGAAGTTTATAGAGTTATCTCTGTGAGCCTACTACTTCCCTGAACTGTCCAGCAGCTCCTGGGGCTACCACTCCATGAGCGTTCTGTGGTGTTGTGAGGCCCACAGAGTCAATAAATCTGAATGTGTGGAACAACCACCAACTGTTCTGTGCTTGGATACAGTCACTTTAAGGACAGCAAGTTTCCCGCCCAGTTAGATTCTTGTGAATATTATTTCGTTCACTCCCACAGCATTTAATAATGGGGCTTTTAAAACACATATCCACTTGCGGTTTTCTTCAATTTAGATGTCTGAACTAGATTTCCTAAGTAAGCCATATCCCAGTACATTTTTATAAGAGTGCAATTCCATTTCCCTTGAGTGTAGTAAGTATAAAAAAAAAAATGTGTTTTGTCATTTTATTTGAGAGTAAATGAAGTGGATGATTTTTAAAAACTCCAGGGTGATTTTTTTCACTTCTAGGAAATTAAAGATTAAGTAGGACTATACAAGGACATGTACATGATATGTATTATAAACAGTTCTAATAGAGAGAGACTGGCAAGTGCCTAAATGTTCAGCTAGAGTTCAGTTAAATAGAGCCATACATTCATATGATATACCATGCAGTTATCAAAAAGAAAGATTTAGATCATATTAATTGACATGGGAAGACATTTAACCGTGAGTAAAAAAATTAAAGCTTGTTTTAAAGCAGCATTTATAACATCCCATTTGTTTTAAATGTTAGATGAGGATGTATATATTCATTCTCTCAATAAATTGTTGAGTCTCTTAGGTGCGAGGAACTGTCTTAGTAGCTGCGGTGAAACAATGCCTGAGCGGTCCTTGACCTCACAGATTGTATGTTTTAGTAGGATAGACAGATGGTAAGCAAGGAAATAAGAATTCACGATAGTGCTTAGTGCTAAGAAGGAAAAAGTGTGAGAGACTCCTAGTGTGGAAGGAGAGTCAAGTTAAACCTCTCTAAAGAAGTGACATTTGGACTAAAACTTGAGGGATGAGATAGAGCCAGGTGTGAAGATAGTGGGGGAAGACCATTTCACAGTGAATGGCCAAGACAGCTGTCTGAGGCCATAAGAAGCTTGAAATGTGCTAGGAATTCAGTGAGGACAAAACAAAAGTAGGGAGGGCAGAGTAGTATAAGCTGAGCTTGAGAGGTGGGGTGTATGTGATGTTGGGGGTCACCCAGGGCCTTACGGACCATGGTTAGGAAATTGGATTTTATTCCAGTTGTAGTGAAAGGGATACTAGTAAAAAACTGTTCTCAAGGCCTTTGTGTGTATGTTGGGGTGGGGAATGGGATGATGTGGGCAAGTGGAGGTGGAGCTGGGAGGGTTGCTGATGGATTAGATGTGGTGGGAGGGGAAAAGCCAGGATTAAGGACCATGTTCAGGTCTGGGGCGTGAGCAACTTGGTGGAAATTAGTGTCATTTAAGGAGATAGTGAAGATTGAGAAAGGTCCAGTTTTATTGGTAGGGGGAGGGGGAAGATGTAGATAGATATTAAAAAGTTTGATTAGTGATGTCTATTCATTTTGTGGTTTTAGTGTCTGAATGGAGTTGTCATGTAAGTAACTGGATTCTTGAGACAAAGTCATGGCAGAGGGCTGAGCATAAGATTGACTGAGTTGACTTAGGAACTAAGAATAGAGAGAAGTCCCAGGACAAAATCCAATGTGTTGAAGTTAGGTAAAGGAGGTAAAGCCAGCAAAAAAGGATAAGAAAGAGTTGACCAATGAGATAAGGAGGGGGTAGTGTTACAGAAGATGAATTTTTGTGTGTATATATTTATGAATAATTGAGATTCTAGAAGATGTTCATCAAAATGTCAACTGTGGTTATTTCTATATGATTAAATTTTAGATGAATTTACTTTCTAAGGCTATTCTATAATTTAATCCAAGATATGAATTGCTTTTGTGTAGTAGACTCAAACAGCATAACATTTAAAAAGCAAAGAGTTAAATTTTTCCCCTCTCCCTAACCTTCCCTTTTATCTATGATCCAGGGATAACGATCTCTTTACAGTTTGGTATTTATTCCTCCAGATATTTTTGTCCATAATTACAGAAGAATACATACGAATGTCTGTATAAATATACACATGTATATTTTTAAGTAACATAAATGGTATACTAAATATTATTTATATCGTTCTTGCTTTGTTCTCTCAGAATAAAGGTAGGATTTCATTCCAAGTCAAAAATATGGATCTACTTTTTTCTGAAAAATAGCTCCAAAATAGTTTATAACTTATACATTCAATTCTCTATTGATGAACATCAGGTGATTTTAAATTATTATTACAAATAAATTTGTAGTGAACACCCTTGAATATATCTTTAAAGACTTTCATTATCAAGAAAAAAATACCATTTTCTTTTGGAGAAACAACAACTCTTTAAATCAAAATAGTACTGAAAGAGGCTGTGGAAAAAAGGCTAATCTGGGCTAAGAATATTAAACTAATTCCCAGCCCTACTGGAGAATTGGATCAAATGTGAATTAACCATACGTGTTACAGTTGGTCACATGTAACAGAAATCAGATTCCAGCAGCTAAACCAAAGAGGGATTTTATCCATCCCCCAGTAAGCAGCAGCAGCCCAGGGGGAGGTCATCCAGGGCTGGTGTACAGTAGCTTTCAGCAGTCATTAGAGACCCAGGTTTTTTTTTAGCTCCCTGCACTGCCATTCTTCCTGGGGCTTTGGGCTTTATAGTCACCTACCGCTGCTCTACCTCTTTTTATTTGTAATTTTGTTCATGATAAATAGCTATCTTTTCTTGAACATTGGAGGAAAAAATAACTTGCTGTGTTATAGACTTTTGAGAGTTAGCATATTTAAGAGATTTTTGAGGGTGATTTTGACTCTAGCTAGTTTTCACAGGTACACTGACTTTAGCTTCCAGTGGCCGTGTAAGATGCAACTTCACCGAAAATCTGAGTTAGGGCTGTAACTGATAAAAAGGAGTGACATTCATATTAGCTCACTGATTTTTGAGAGTGGGGGATAGTTCAAGCTTGAATAACCCTCTTTTCTCTTTTTCCCTTTCCACCAGTCTGAGATGCCTGAAGAAGAAAAAGTTGACTCTTCCACACAAGTGGTGCTTTGGTACCCTGAGCTCATTCATTTTACTCCACGCCAAACAGAATCCCTGAGAACTCCTGAGTTAGAATCGAATAGAATCGAATCAACTAGAATAGAATAGAATTTGTTGGTGGTTTGCAATTGTGTTATTGTCCATTTGTTCACAAAAGTTAAACTTTTGTATTAAAATTTGGCAAGAAAAAAAAGGAAGTTCAGGATGTTTAACAACGTGGAGTGTTGTGGCTTTTTTAAAACATGATTTTAAAAGTAAAATTGATTTTTACTTGAGAATGTCAAGTTTTGTGGGGAAAAGTATTTTAGCAGCATCTGTATACATACTATTTAGTATATTCTTTGAAGGAGAATTTAATTTGAATGTGATGAAAATATCTCAGATGAAGATGAAGTATTTTGAAATAGTTTTTTCATTTAATCTACAAATATTCTAGTTTCTCCAGCACTTTAACAAAATTGCCAGATTTAGGAGAGGAGAAATATTCATCATGTGATTATTACTGAATGCTCTAATAACTTCTGAGCACATGAAGTTGCATATACAGTTGAGTGTTTGAATTTATTTTAGGAAAATGAAACCTATGCAATTTAAGGCCATCTACAAAGTAATTTTGTTCATGATTTGGATAAATAAAGTCAATGACTGTAGACTGAAAATAGTTTATTCATTATGTAGTATAACTTGGTTGTGTAATAGAGGTTATTTGTAGTTTAATCTGCTCTACCTCTAAGTATTATCCCAGCA